ACAAATGACGAAGAAAATCAATTAGTTGAGTGGGTACTTTATATGCATAAAGCTGGTTACCCAATTACAAGCATTCAAATTATTAGTAGCGTTGCTATGTTAGTTAAAGAATTAAAACGGGATAATCTCTTCACGAATGGCCGACCTGAACGAAGTTGGCTGGATAGTTTTCTGAAACGCCATCCAGAATTGTCGCAAAGAATTGCACAAAATTTAACAAATTCAAGAGCATCTGTTACAGAAAACGCACTTCGTGGATGGTTTGCTGAAATTAATAGTTATTTTTAAAAAAAATTATCTCTTTAACATGGATCCATCGCGAATTTTTAATTGCGATGAGAGTGCTTTTTTTATGTCCGAAGGGAGAAAAAGTTCTTGCTTGAAAAGGCGACAAATGTGTATATAATTTTGTCTAAATGAGTAAGAATGCTTAACAACTTTATTTATGAACTCTCGTTTTATTTTCATAAGAAAAGATTCCATATAGCATTATGGCAAGTATACCTAACTCATAGGGAATTGGAAAAACAGATAATGGGTGGATGACTGACAAAAGCTTCTATGAATACATTGCGAATATGTTTCATCCTTGGTTAGTGGCTAATAACATAGAATTCCCAATAGTACTATACGTAGATGGTCATTATACCCTAACATAACGCATATTTTAGAACCACTCGATGTGGCATTTTTCCATTCACTGAAGAGTGCATGACGAAAAATAGTTACATTTAGTTTATTTTATTCATTTATTGATACCTTTCCTTCATATTCGTCATTACTCAGTTACTACTTTGATTATAGAATAAATATTATTTTTATTCATAATTTTATTAACTTAAAATTTTTTTATCATTTTCTTATTATTAAATATAGACTTACATACTGTTCCGAACACTCAGATAAACGAAACAAACAATACTAATTCAATTCCTGTTATACTTGTTAATGAATTACCTGAGGAAACGGAAACTGTAGGAGTTGAACAAATAGTTATGGAGGATTTAAATACTACAATCATAGACGTAGATCTGAATGAAAATTTTGATCTTAATCGAGTTCCTCCGGAAGATCCCTCTTGCCCAGAAGGCATCCAACCAATCTGTCAGGAATATACGAACCCCTCCTGTCCAGAAGAAGACTCCATACCCTCTTCCTCTTTTATGCAAACTATTCAGACACCATTTCAAAAAACTTTATTTTGGCCAGCACCTTCTTCATGTAAAAAGAAAAGACACCTAATGGAAAAGGTACCGTCTGTAGTATCTTCAGAACAGTGGCAAACATTTTATAAGCTAAAAGAAGAGAAGAAAGGGGAGAAAGAAGCTGCAGTTGAAGACCGAAAAAGGAAAAGGGCGGAGATTTCTTTACAGAAAAAAAACGAAAAAGAGGAGAGAAAGAGAATAAGAGTTTTAGCTGCAGAAGAGCGAAAGAAGAAGATTGAAGAAGAAAAGAAACGGAAATTCTTAGGAAATAATAGAAAAAATAAAAGATTTTAAACAGATTAAACAATTTTTAATTTTCATAAAATGTTAATAAAAACTGTTTGTTATACTCATGAACACAAATTTATTAAAGTAAATGATGCATTTACAATGGGGGAAACTGCTGGTCAATAATGGGGACGTGAGATGGTCGATAGATGGTACAAGTTGGTCAATAAAGGGGACATCAGGTCCAATATCATTTTCACCATAATTTTTCTGTAAATAGTCAAATATCACTCTAAAACTAATTCGATTAAGAAACTAGAGACTTCAAAAAATACAACGATCCATACTTTATTCAAATATTGTCGTATGTTAGTAAAAAAATTACTATTTCGAACTAGTCACACTCTTAGACGTCCGGTAATGGGGACATTTACTTTACACGTTGACCATGCATGAAATGGAGGAAAGACACACATCCGAAAATATTGCTGATGAATTAATCAACACATTAAATAAATAGGGAATAACTGAAAAAGTCTTAGCTATCGTTACAGATAACGCAAAAAACATGAAAAATACAGTTTATTTATTATCTGAATGCGTCGAAGTAAATAACATACCATGTGCAGCTCATACGCTTCAACTCGCTGTTAATAATGCACTAAAGAAAGAGAATATACAAAATCTCATTCGACACTGCAGTAAAGTTGTTGGACACTTCAAGCATTCGAATGTTGCGAGAAAAGCTCTGGATCAAGAACAAGAGCAACTTAGAATGCAGAAATCAACCTTATTACAATGCTGTTCGACGCGATGGAATTCAACCTTTTTCATGCTAGAACGATTATACAGGGTGTAACAAAAATGTTGTCCGACCCGGAAATGGGACACTCGGGGGTGAATTGGAATAACTATTTTCTTAGCAACAATGTAATCTGAGGCTTCATTACCGAGATATTAACGAAAAACCGCGACCAATCAGAGCGCCAGTTTTCCAGCCGAGTTCCCGCGCTGCGCTTGTACTATGGAGCTCCGAACAAGCAAGTCGACATACATCGCAGGAAACTGCGTATAATAGCAAATAAAAAAAACGTAACAAACAAAATCATACTTTTTATAATCTGTTGATTGTTACTTACACAGATTAATGAATGAAGCATAAATGTAGGAAAATTATGTGTAACGTAAAAAGACGAATGCACGTTTACCTTTTTAAGCAGAATAGAAACTAATAATTATTTGTAGAGAAGGGCTAAGGAATTTGTAAATTTCCTTTTCAAATAACGTATTAACGAAAAGGTAATGTAACACAGAATGAACAAGAAGTGATCGTAGTTCGGTATTGGCATAAAAATTCGTACTTTAATAACGGGCGACAATGTTACTGATAATGAATAAGTTTCTTCAAAAAGGTTGTTGTGCCCGCATATGCATCAGCACATCACACCGTGAGACCGTCTGAAGTCACTCGAAACTTGCAAAATTGTCGCCGGAAATAAGACATAGCTTGCGTTAAATTAAAAAAATAATAATCAGCAATAAATTGATTAGAACTCACCCTTTCGGAAATTCACCTGCAGATTGCAAACCTGTGACACTAGGTCACTGAACCGATCCTGGTCATCGACGGACGGAACGGTTTATGGCAGGGTATCGCCCAATTCACAGGTGATCGCAGGTATACCTCACCAGCCGAAGTTAAGGGTTGTAACATCAAGTGCATCCGGTTTATTCCACCGAATACGTATTCACTTCACTGCACGACCACTAAACTGATCACCCGACACGATCACTTAACGTATTTTTAATCGAACGTGTTGTTCGTACGTTAGGAAAATTGATGGGTCCGAAACGGGCCGATTGTTATCAATTTATCAGATGTTTTACGTAGCCAAACGCTTGTACAGCAGCAGCCGCATATCCGTTATTCTGTACGTACCACTAGAACATTGCGTAATACTCCCGTGAACTGAACATCTCTGCCGCCCGATTGCAAAACAACTGACAGCATTTTTCCGAAAGAGCTTCCTTTACCCCCAAGTAGTTTCCCATCGTTACGTTCTGAGTTCACTCCCACCGCAGTGACAAGATTTAGGTAAAAAAAAAACCAGCGCTTTAAGAAAACACGTGCTTTACAAAAGTGCAAAGAACGAACCATCGTGCAGTTTCACCGAAGAGCGGGCTCCGGTAATGTACTGCCAGGATATCCATTGCTTCGAGATAGAAAGCAGAAACTACGTTTTCCTCAAGGATCAGGAAAAAAATTTAACGGACACATGTTGAGTTGACGCTGCTTAGCCTTGTCCGAGCACCTTAGCAGAGGCCGAAACAGACGTTTCGGTTATTTACGACCTAATTGCTTCGGCCGCGTAGCAGACGTGGACTCACAAGGGAACAACATCCCGAATTTTGACACCCCAATGGATATCCTGGCAGTACATTAACAGAGCTCGCGCTTCGGTGAAACTGCACGATGATTCGTTCGTTACACTTTTGTAAAGCACGTGTTTTCTTAGAGCGCTGGTTTTTTTTTTATCTAAATCTTGTCGCCGCGGTGGGAGTGAACATACAATGTAACGATGGGAAACTACTTGGGGGTAAAGGAAGCCCTTTCGGAAAAATGCTGTCAGTTGGTTTGCAATCGGGCGGCAGAAATGTTCAGTTCACGGGAGTATTACGCAATGTTCTAGTGGTACGTACAGAATAACGGATATGTGGCTGCTGCTGTGCAAGTATTTGGATACGTAGAACATCTGATAAATTGAAAAAAAATCGGCCCTTTTCGGGGCCACGAGTTTTCCTAACGTAGGAGCAACACGTTGGATTAAAAATACATTAAGTGATTGTGTCGGGTGATCAGTGTTCGTGGTCGGGCAGTGAAGTTAATATATATTTGGTGGAATAACCTGGAAGCACTTGACGTTACAACTCGTAACTTCGGCTGGTGCCGTACACGTGTGATCACCTGCGGACTGAGCGCTACCCTACCATAAACCGTACCGTCCGTCGATGACCAGGATCGGTTCAGTGACCTAGTGACACAGGATTGCAAAATCCAGGTGAATTTCTGAAAGGGTGAGTTCTAATCAATGTATTGCTAATTATTATTTTTTTAACTTAACGCAAGCTATGACTTTTTTCTGATCATAGTTCTGCAAGTTTCTGTACCTACATTTTTCTTCAGGTTTCTTAACCCTTTCGTTACCTTGGACGAGATATCTCGCGACCCAAAACTGGCCGATTAACGCTTTTGACGAGATATCTCGCGACCCGATACTGACCGATCAACGCTTTTGACGAGATATCTCGCGACCCGGTAGTAGCCGATCAACGCTTTTGACGAGATATCTCGCGATCCGGTAGTAGCGGATTAACGCTTTTGACGATAATCTAGCTTCCTAACACTAATATTTTGACATTCTAGACAAATTATTTTGTGTTCTGCCTTTGAGTTTTTATGTCGCTTATGGTATGTCTCGAGCATTATGTTGATAAACATTGAAGACGTATTACAGCATTCATCGTATAGGAGTTTAGTCTTGATTCATTACTTTGAAGCGTTACAAGATGTTCAGTCGAAGAGTAAGAAATAGAATAATAAGTGATAGTGAAAACAGTGATGATCAACGAGAAACACACGTCAATAGCATATATAATACATTGTCTGATGATGAACTTCCGTTATCTAAAAGGCTGGATGAACTGCAAAAAGAAAGGCAATGGAAGATTGCAACAGTTAAAGAAAATTTCGTGCCAAAAATTATGAAGTATACTGATAATTGTAGTGGAGTACAGTCGCAATCGAATATAACTGAAAATACGTCACCTACATCTATTTTTAAGTTTTTTTTCAACGAAGATCTCGTCCGGGAAATAGTAGAAAACACGAATAAATATAGAAGAGCAAAAGGACAGTGCAGGCAAAGATCTTCTAATAAAATTACGTTTGATGATATATATTCATTTCTTGCCATTAGTATATATATGGGCATTGTTCAGCTTCCTAAAACATCGATGTATTGGAGTACTGATCCACTTTATAACTTTCCATTAGTCAGACAAGCTATGAACAGAAAAAAATTCTTGGAGGTCCAGAAGTATTTACATCTTAGCGATATAGATAATGAAGATAATAATGATAAGGCTTGTAAAATACGGCCGGTTATTGACATGCTAGTTCAGCGGTTTCAAAAAGCATATCGTCCAGGACAGTACGTTGTGGTTGACGAAAGTCTGATGCTATGGAAAGGTAGATTGTCTTTCAAACAGTTTATTCCATCGAAGCGAGCAAGATTCGGATTGAAGAGTTTCGTTCTATGTGATTCTGAAACCAGTTATGCCTACAACATGAAACTCTATACTGGAAGAATGTTGGAAGAATGGAATGATCAATCGATTGGAGTTTCCGGTTCAGTGGTAATGGATTTATCGAAAAATATTTTAAATCAAGGAAGAACTATGTTTTTGGACAACTGGTACTCATCTCCTGCTTTATATGAAAAGCTACACAAAAATGGGACAAATGTGTGTGGTACTGTTCGACTAAAAAGAAAAGCAATGCCTTGTGACGAACAAGTTAAAAATGCAAAAAAAACTAAAAAAAGGAGATATGTTAGTACGGTACAATAAGAGAATGGCTTTGTGTGTATGGAAGGATAAAAGAGTAGTATCAACTTTGACTACTGCACATACTCCCCGTTTGGAAGAATCAATAAAAATTGATAGGACTACAGGAGACTGCATAAAAAAACCAAATACTGTTATAGATTATAACCAGTACATGGGTGGCGTGGATCGCATGGATCAAATCCTCCAAGGATGTTCTTCTTTACGTAAGAGCATAAAGTGATACAAGAAGTACTTTTTGCATTTACTAGATATAGCAATCCATAATTCCCTCGTGGTGTGGAAATGCCTCCATGAAGAAAATAAAAGTTACTTGCAAATGAAAGAAGACATCATTCGTGGTTTGTTAGAAAAACATTGCACGTCACATAATAATCGAGGAAGAACGTACAGTAAAAAACATCCATTTCGATTGAAGTCTCGATGCTACCCTGTAACAATACGGGAGACACACAAGAAAAAATACCCAACAAAACCGTTGCACCGTATGCAAAGAAAACGGAAAACGTAAGGAAACACGATATTTTTGTCAGAAGCGTAATGCCGCTTTATGCGTAACACCATGTTTTCAATTATACCACGTAGAAAGTAAATAAAAATAATTTCATTAAATTAATAAAAACTGTATTTATTTCTTCCTTTTAGCTATACGAATAGAATTAGTCATAAAATATATTCATCTAGAATGTCAAAATATTGGTGCTAGAAAGCTAGATTATCGTCAAAAGCGTTAATCCGCTACTACCGGATCGCGAGATATCTCGTCAAAAGTGTTAATCGGCCAGTATTGGGTCGCGAGATATCTCGTCCAAGGTAACGAAAGGGTTAAAGAGGAAACGTACCGCAAAAGAGTCATTCACCAATTTTTCAGACCATATCGCAAGTTTCTCTATCGAGGGCATAGGGTAAAAAAAATGTGACCAGCTCAGCCTTTGGCACAGGGGTTACGTGTACTTTTAACTTGAAAAAAACGTGAACACATGGAAGATTCCACGATTTTTGTTGAAATGGCATCGTGTTTTGTGAAAAATGGTAATTATGCAATATTTTACGTTATTTTGAAATGGACTGTATACGACGAAGAAAAATTTCAACAAATTGGCAACTGAAGGGCTTTAAAGACAAATCTCTCAGCTTTCTAAAATTCTTTTGGAATTTTCTATACGATCATGCGTGCGCAAGTCACAGGCGCTCAAAGTAAAAAGTGCCTTTTCTCATGTGATGACAAATAACTCAGCCAATAAAAACTGTACAACAAAATTAAAAAAAGAAAATTAAAGAGAAAAGTTTGCTCTCTAAAAGTGTTACATTGGGATTACAAGAAAAAATTTTATTTGGCCCACGCATCCTCTCGAAGTTGACCAACATTTTTTAACATTCGCTTGCTTTGCTTCATCTTTAAAAAAAAGGAACAAACTACATGAAAGTAATTTTTTAATTCCCGATTCAAAAACTAGAAACTTCAGGCTATAAAATGGTCGTATACAATATTTTTTATAATTATTTTTCGCGGAGATAGAGGCATTTGGACGAGGAGAGCCATCCGATAGTGCTAAGAGTTTTTTTTTTGCAGGTGGAGATACTTTGGATAGTTCAAGGTCACCTCCATTTTGTTTTAAATCCCTTTCGGGTATTGTACCGGTAGCCTATTACAGTAGGCATTCAATTCCCGCCCTACCGTTATCTGCACGGAAGACACGCCCCTTACTCACAGGTATTTCTAACACACGTGTGCGTACCCTACTCTGTCGCCCAGCACGCCCAGGCCGGAACACATACGGTGTCGCGTTTAACACGCATATCTCATCACTCATCACAGAAAACATAGTGTATATCATACTGTTTTAATAAAATGTTGCAATGTTTTTATTGGTGGAATGAATATTGGTGGTAATTTCATTGCTTCTTGCCTCGCGGATCACACGTAATGGGTAAAAGATGCTAACCAAGCTAGACATTTGTCACTAAAATATGTCACGAACTATTAACTTTTTCATATAATACCTTAACCCTTTATTACGCAAAATGTTTAGAAGAATCGATTTATGTAAAAAATAAAGTATTATTATTCCATAGTATTTCAATATCATTAATAAAAGAACATACAGTAGACTCTAACTATATTGCCATGTTCGCTGCTGTTGGGGAGTGAAATGGCAATCAGTTTAGAGCCCCCTCCATGCTAGGTTCTGTCGCCATGGCGTCGGCCTCAGCGCCTGTGCAAAAAGCTGGATCGTGTTGGTGCGCCGGCGTACGCAATATGGTCAGAGAGCGAATTTGTGTCTGCGAAAGTACGTGTGAAGGGGAAGTTCCTCATGTGGCAATGTGTTCAGTGGCAATATAGTTAGAGTCTACTGTAATTAACTTTGAGAACTCAGCAGATCCTTCACCTACGAAAAAACTGTTACTGCTAAGTAATAGCCCTCTTCATACTAACAAAACTTCTATGAATACAATTTTCTGATACCTCTAAAATTAACGGAGATAACATAACCGTAAAGTATGTATATCCAGCCCACCCCATATGTAACCTCGGTCTAAAGCACTCGGGTAACTAGTTACCGATTCCTGCACGGTTCTTGGAAATTTAGCTCTCTACAGCCCCAACTCGTGCGGGAATCGAATGTCTACTGTAGTCGACAACTGAAAGTTTGGAAACTTAATAAAAGATTAAAAGTCTGTGTATCAGCAAGACAACAATAATGTAACAATAAAACTTTTTTTATTTCTGGTTCTTTGTTAATGAAAATTGTATTGATATATCGGTGAGATTTTTCTGATTAAAGTGTGACCAAACACGGTATAATTTGGATCACTTCTAATTTATCGTGAATGAAAGCGATAGGGTTTGAGTTACCGCTTCTGATAATTTAGAAATAATCCAAATCGGCCTGAAATTTTTGATGTGTGAAATACAACGACTCGGATCGATATAAGGTCCAGAGTGGACTCGACGTTGAAGCTTTATCAGATCACTGTATATCTAAAATAGACGTGATGAATTTATCAATCCAGATAAGTTCTGCTCCGATGGCATAGATACTATAGTTTATTTCCAGCTCGCAATTGTCGCTCAAATAAGATTTTTGTGGTTCAAGCAATACGTATATTTTAACTAATCTCCCTGATAGCCAGTTGTGTACAAGTTTTGAACAAATGGCCAGAAAATAATATCAAAGATTGTCTAAAAAAGCCATACCCATCTGTTTCCGCATTTGACTTAGGTTTCGCAGGCAAAATGGTAAAGCAAATGGGCAGCAAGTGTTGCAACATAACCTGTATCAAATTGGGGGCAAAAATGAAACAGAGTTTGCACGAGCCAATTTGCTGCATATCAATTTGCTGCGTATGTTGCTGCCAATGTACGCGCAAGTTGTACATAGCATATCTTGCATCGAACTTGTAGCCATAACTTTCTAACAAGCATTGGTCAAAATTTGGTTTCGCAGGTCTGGCTGACTGGGCTTTTACAGAATACTATTATTTTGCTAATTTTGGGGAGTAATGTTTTTGGCGTCGTATTTACGTTTTCGAGAAATGCTTTTCCGGCTTTGTGTATAATATGAAGAAAAATCAAACGAATCCAACTGCAAACCAGGCAACTTGGCCTTTGACTGTAGAAAATAGTGTTTATGGAAATTTTCATTTTTGTAGTTCATATTAAAGGAACCAGAATCGAAGTGAAATTAGTTTCATCTGTTAAGAGGTTTATTAAATTAAAAATAATGCAAAGATTTTATTAGTTCTTGCTGAATATTTTGTTTTAGTATATTTTGAATCTTTAAATGTCCTAAACTACTATAAATACATAAGCGTTCGCAGTCTAGTTATCAGAGTTACCGTATTTTTTGAAATGTATGATACTTGATCTAAATTCGACAATACGGCTAGAAATTGTTGTTTAATTGTACTGTGAATATAATACTATTGCATTAAGATTATTTAACGAAATAAACTATCTTTAGACCTATTGCATTTTTATAAACGTAAAACATTTAAAGCTAACACAACAGGGTAAAAATTACATACGCTTTCTATGTTATTGTGGTTTGATGATATCCCAAGCATAAAAGACTTTCATACCGGCTTAGAAAAAAGTTCAGTGTTGCAATTTTTTTTCCTCTGCAGTTATAACTTTGTTCTAACACAAGGCCTAATTAAAAGCACGGAATATACGTAGGTCAATTGATCCAGATATCATAAAATCTTGCAATCTTTTTACAGTATGCCCGGTTCCTGTTCCACCCATGTAAAAATTTTTTAAAGCAAAATAACAATCGTAATTGTGATTGAAAAGCAGAAACTAAAAAGTTGATAACATTTATATGTCGTATATTGATTTGTAATTCGTTTTAGCAAAATTTACGCAAAAATAGAATAACAATTTGTAGAAAGATATCATAAAATATATATATACAAATTGATTTTTATTGTATTCTAAACAAAATTAATACTTTGGAAGCTTCTTTAAGGAAAAATACAATAAACAATTTTTAATAAAGAAAGTTTTTTCTGTACTTTATAGTGAAGAAAGTATGTTTTTCATCCCTAAATTTAGTAACAATTTTCACCCTAAAATTGAGGAGTTATATGTACCATAAAGATATAGACAATATAAAAACATGTATAACAAATATTTTTCAAAACATAATATAGGTGTTAAACTTAAATTTAAGTTAACTTATTGTTGGACACAATTAAGAATGCAAAATTAATTAAGCCATATTTCCTAAACATCTCAATAATTATTTGTATGAAAGTACTCAATTTCACAATACTTTTGTGCAATACTGAACATATTGTGGCAACCATACAAATAAGAATATTCTTGTTTCACTATTTGAAATAATTTCATGTTAGCTACAAAAATTGAATGTTGAATACAATAATATTTTCCTGCAACTGCTTGCTGTTACCTATACCATAGTTAATACTTATATAATGTAGTTTTTATGTAATAACAGTCAATTTAGTGTGAGCATGTAAAGGGGGAACATTACTTTCTTCTGTATACTTGAATAATATGTGAGAGTAAATATGTCACTTGAATTTTAAAAATATTATAGTTTAAAAATATGCAATACTTAGTAGAAAGTGTATTCATCATGATCAGTGAAAACAGATTTTGTAACTTATACTATAGAATTATAAAACATGTACAAGGTATATGTTTTTTTCTAAGTTTAATCCTAAATATAAGCTTGGTGATAATAAATTGGAAAGAACCATACTACAAATTGATTATGTCACATTATTTTGAAAGTCAGAAGAAAAATTAACATAGAACAGTTATAGACAGAGAAATTTTATCAGAATTTGATATAAGAATTCTTATTTACAGTATATTATGTTTCATACAATTTTAAGATACTATTAGTATCACGATTTTCTCAGTTATCAGACATGAAGTCCACAAAAAGGCTATTATAATCACATTAAGAATGCATTATCATGTCCAGAATCTTAATGACTTACTCAATACGTTTACTGCTGATATACTGTTGTATAGAAATAAAGATTATAAAACTTCAAGAATAACTGAACAGTGATAAAATAATTCACCAGATAATTTTAAATTATGTTTAAAGTATATTTTAATGTTGCTTACAAGAGATAACTTTTATTAAATTATAGAAAGTACTTGTTTTTTTTCAAGTGCATAATATGGTAATTGTACTTAAATTCAATTACAAAAAAGATTAATATGATACTAGCTTGTAGAGAATATCTAAAGAAAATGGGACAAACTTTATATGTTACATAAATTTTGCAGGTATACTGTTGATTAACAATCTAATGACTGCTAATTATTGTTTATGAAGTTCAACCTTTCTATTATTTTTGCTTTGTTTTCATTTTGTTAATTGTAATGAAACATGTATCATTTCAGTAGGAATCATTTTCAATAACCAGAAGTGAATTAGTTCTTACAACTCTGCAATAAATGTTTTGGATTGTGATACTGTATGAACCTTTGTTATCTATTAAGAATACACATTATACTGCATGAATTTTGTCCCAACCTTTGTATTCATTGTATGTGACTGTTTTGACAATTAAAGATACAATACCAAAATGTAATCTTTTCTCATCTTTTATTGTGCCATAAAACTATTGAGGTAATCTTAATCTCGTTAAGATTAGATTTTAAATAATATTATACAAAAATATTGTAGAACATATATAATTAAAGTAAAATCAATGATTTAAAGATTCTATTTTCTATTTAATATAACTTGGAGTTTATAAACTTAGAAATAATAGGACTTGTACCAAACATTAAATTATTGTAACTAAATTTATACTATTTGTTGTATATATTATCAATACTCTGACCAAAACATATGGGTATGTGTTTAAAAAAACTCTTTAAAACACTTCATTTGATTTGCTTTTTCATATTCTTATCAAACATTAAATTCAAGTAAACAAAATTTTGAACTTAGTTTTTAGATATACATAAAACATTCAAATTTACTTGTAAGTTCTTATATACTGCAACTAAATTTGTAACCAGTATTACACCAATATTACCACAATATTTAAGTATAATACATGGTTTTATATGGAATGCTGACCTAAAATATAGCTCTAACCTTTCAATACTGTTTGCAAATATTTATTTTATCAAAACGTACAAATATATAGAAAAATTGTCTTGAATATAATTTTTCATGGACTGCTTTGTTCTCATTACCATACTACAATTGCTAACAAAGATTTCTTAGTAATATTTATTAATGATATTTCCTAGTAAGTTTAAAATTTTTATATATTTTTCCATAAGAAATCACTTATCTCCCTGGCCTTTTAAACATTACGCTTAATAATTTCACACCTTAAATATATGTATACATATATATACAAATATGGGGACAAAGCATGTTAGAAGAGATAAGATTAAGAAACATTGATTATTAACAAATGCACTTATTTCTTTGCAGCATATAAAATTTGATTGGTTCTAAAAATATATTTTAATATTATTAAACTGTTGATATAAGGAGAGAATACTTTAGAAAAATTAAATAATAGTTATTAAACAACTAGTTGATTAACTGCACAAAACACAGTTTAAACATAAGTGGTTTTAAACTTTACTATCTCAACTGTTGTTTACATACATTCCTACAAATTAATTCCGTAATACTCAAGAACTAAAAATAAAAATATTGTCTTTAAAAAATTGTACAACTAAAGCACAATTTACGACTGGTTTACGAATTGTGTATAGGTTATCTATTTTTTTAACGAGCTTGTTATATTATTATATACATAATCATATAATCACATAATCACTTTACTTACGTTTGTAATAGAATATTATAATTCGTCGAACAATATATCAAAATTGTTTTAAATGCCAGGAATATAAACTGTATATGGTCATGTTACACAGTACTGATGTGTATCCACAAGAATAGTCAATAATAAAGAATGACATTAGATCTTCCTGCACACTTCGAAACAAATGTTTTAAGTAATTTCTAAAGAACCACGTGGTAAAATAAAATTTACTGCACCTACACTGTTACTTCCACAATTCGATGAAAATGTTACACTGTGTTACACAGCAACACAGTATTTCGTTACAGATACCATTGATAAAATAATGACAAAGGTAGATGCTCAAACACCATCACATTATTTTAAACACCAACAGCCGCTCTAACGATGCATTATTATGTTCTGAAATTGACTAGCAAACACGGAATCAGTTCTCTCTTTCTCTCTCTGTAACCTAAATCTATATGCTGCACCTAGAAAGGCAAACCATTAGATAGCTTTTACCACCGACGAGGTATAGAATAGACCTATCATCCAATGCTTTTTTCTGTCCCATGTTCGCAGGTCTACGTACCCTATTACCATTTTAGTGTCAATACCCGACGTTACCGATAAAGCATGAATTCTGAGTATTATTAGCACAAATGCACATGCATAGAGATAATTTTAAATTCGAATTTCGTACCAATGGCTGCGTTCAGAAGACGCAACTGTGATTTCACTACATTTGCTACTGCTCACCCAGTAGAGTGTAGCGTTCAGAATCAAATCTAGTGAAATCACTAAACGGTTGCGCAACGATTGTGTCTTCTGAAGCAGCGATTGTAGTACATACATACGCATGTTTATAAAGTACACAAAGGATACATATCTGCTGTCAAGCTTCAAAAGAAACTTGCATAAAAACATCTATATAAACATAACCTTGAACGTTTAATTGGGACGTGCGGTGTCCTTTTTCGATTTCTCTAACTACACATCAATATTACTGTGAATACAGTAGAAACATTTCTAGTTCGGTGTAGAACCTATTTAAGTCAAAATGGAAGAAATGGATGTGGGAAGTGAGGAAAACAACGATAAAATGACATACGAGGATTCGGTTGACAAAGTGGATGATTCCGAAATGATTGAGAATGAAGATGAAAAAAATGCAGAGAATGAATCTGCTGATGATCAGAACGAAGATGACGACGAAGAGGATGCCGATGAGGCCGAATTGAAAGTCTTAGAAACTTCCCTTGCTCAGAATCCATATGATTACACGAGTCATATAGCCATTATCGATAAATTGCAAAAAATGGGGGAACTAGAACGATTACGTGCTGCCAGAGAAAATATGAGTTCCAAGTATCCTTTGAGCCCTGAACTCTGGTCATCCTGGATGCGTGATGAAATTAAATTAGCTACAACACCAGAAGAGAAAGCTGAAGTAGTAAATTTATGTGAACGAGCTGTGAAAGATTACCTTTGTAAGTTCAATGCATACTCAAGCAGAATACCCATTTTAGTAATTTTTTACGACTTTGTTGTTCACATTGTATATATCGAACATATAATATCAACATAAATCATTTGTTATAGCTGTAGAAGTATGGCTAGAATATTTACAATTTAGCATTGGTAATATGGGCACTGATAAAGGTGCGGCAAAAGATGTCCGGCAATTATTTGAGCGAGCGTTAACTGCTGTTGGATTGCATACTATAAAGGGTGCGATAATATGGGAAGCATTCAGAGAATTTGAAGCTGTGTTGTATGCATTGGTAGGTACAAAAAATAAAAAATATTTATATATATTTTTTAAGACACGTTTAACATTGATTTATAATATTTAGATTGATCCTTCGAATCAAGTTGAAAAGAAGGAACAGTTGGAACGAATTGGGAACTTATTTAAACGACAATTAGGATGTCCTCTTTTGGATATGGAGAATACTTTTGAGGAGTATGAGGCTTGGCGAAATGGAGATGGCACAGAAGCTAATATGGATGATAAAATGGTACGTAGAAGGTATGAAAAAGCTTCTGCAATGCTGAATGAGATTTTGCCTTATGAAGAAAAAGTAGTTTCTTCACAAGATGAAAGTGAACTTTTAGATGCGTACAAAGCATACTTACGGTACGAAGAGCACAAGGGAGATCCAGGACGAATAATTGTATTATATGAAAGAGCTGTTACTGATTTGAGTTTAGAAACATCAGTTTGGCTTGGTTACATTACATATTTAGAAGAAAAGATAAAGGATCAATCTTTCTTGGACCCATTGTACCGAAAAGCTTCAAGAAATGTTCCATGGTGTGCAACTATTTGGCAGAAATGGATGAGATCATGTGAAAAATGGGACAGGCCAATAATAGAAGTTCAAACAATATTAGAGAACGCTTTAGCGGCTGGATTTTCTCTCCCGGACGATTATCGCAATTTGTGGATGACATATTTAGAATATTTACGACGAAAACTCGATGAGTATCCTTCTAAGGAAGAAAAGCATTTAGACATATTGCGTAATACGTTTAACAGAGCTTGTGAACACTTAGCAAAATCTTTTGGTTTGGAGGGAGATCCTAGTTGTATAATATTACAATACTGGGCAAGAACTGAAGCTGTACATGCTAATAACATGGAAAAAGCTAGATCGTTATGGGCTGACATTTTGTCACAGGGACATTCTGCAACCGCGTCTTACTGGTTAGAATATATTTCATTAGAAAGGTAATGTCTTATATTATTTAGAAGTAATATGACAACAAGTAATAAGTTGTAATTTAATGTAGTATTATCTACATATAGGTGTTATGGAGATACAAAACATTTAAGAAAACTATACCAAAAAGCTCTGGCAGCTGTAAAAGATTGGCCAGAAAGCATAGCCCGTTCATGGATAGATTTTGAGAGGGACGAAGGTATTCTGGAAGAAATGGAGCAATGCGAGGCAAAAACGAAACAAAAATTAGAGAAAGTAGCCGAAGAAAGACAAAAAGCACAACAAATAGCGAATCATGAATTGTCGCCAACGCAGAGTAAGAGGACTCATAAGAGAAAAATAGAAGATACTGGGAGATGGAAAAATTTAGGATCCTCTCCTACAAAAATGAAAAAAGTCGAAACGCAAATAACACCAAAAATGAAAGAAAGTCGTTTGAACCTCGAAAAGAAAGTTAATGGTAGTACTGAAGAACAGAAATCAAAGGTTGCTCCGCCGCCTGGTTTCAAAGCACCAGAAGAAAATGATAAAATGGATCTAGACAATACTGAAGCGGTCGATGATAAAATCACCGTTTTCGTAAGTAATTTGGACTACACCGCAACGGAGGAAGAGGTTAAAAATGCTTTAAAACCGGCTGGACCGATTACCTTATTCAAAATGATACGAGATTACAAACAGCGTAGCAAAGGGTTTTGCTATGTGCAACTAAGTAATACGGTATGATGTGTTCATTGTGAAATTATCAAATATAATGCTATATACACATTTTCAAAAACTGTGTACATACGTCTATGTGCAGGGTAATACAGAATTCAATTCAAATACAGGTCAGTTGAGTCGATGACGATAGATTTTAAAAGGGAATTTTGTGACCAGAATCAATAATTGTTTCTGAAATTTTAGATTCAGAAGAGAATCTAATTTAGATTCTGAATAGAAGACGCGTAGAGAGACTCGTTTAACTTACCGAATTATCCATACATACCAGATTGCTTATTCATACACCTGTAAATTCTAAAGTTTTAACGCATTATTACTGAAAAATAAATGAGATCATGTGTTTATTAGAACAAAAATATTTTTGTCGTTTACTATATCATCTATACAATTTTTCTGCAATTTTAAATCGCTCTTTACAGAGTAGTATTAGGTTATTCGGAAAGTTTGTAGCGTTTTTAAGGGTAGGGCTGCGGTCTGTATTTTTTATAACTGTATGAATAATTTCATTACATCAGACTCATAAAATTACTACCCTTTTGATTAAAAGCTTTACAACGTATTTCTAGACGACCCTAATGTTTTCCAAGTTTTACTCTGATATAGAATGTGTTATCTTATGATCGATTTATTTGCTCAGTAAACAGGTCATAAAAATACTGCACTTGATGTGCTACTTATTTTGCAAATGATCCAACTCTACCATTTTTCTTATATCAGTTTAATATTACTATACAATTATGTTTTTACAGGAAGCTGTTGAAACAGCTTTGAAATTAGACAGAACTCCTATAAGAGGACGACCAATGTTTGTTTCAAGATGTGACCCAAACAAAACAACAAGAATACCGGGATTTAAGTACAGTTGTACTCTTGAAAAAAATAAATTGTTTGTTAAAGGTAAGTATCATTGTAAATTAATAAGAATCAAATTGTAAGTTGTATTGCAATGAGTTATGTATAATTTTTTTTTTTGATCATTTAGGACTGCCTGTAACGACGACAAAAGAAGAACTCGAGGACATATTCAAAGTCCATGGAACATTGAAAGAAGTCCGCATAGTTACTTACCGTAATGGGCATTCGAAAGGGCTAGCTTACGTTGACTTCGAAGACGCAACTAGTGCTGCAAAGGCTCTCTTGGCTACCGATGGCATGAAAATCGGCGACAAAGAAATTAGTGTGGCTGTAAGCAAACCACCTGAACGGAAGAAGATTCAAACAGCCGACGATGTACCTCCAGTTAAGTCTCTGGGTGGTACAACAGTAAGCAGAACTACGTTTGGCATGCCTAGAACGTTACTGTCTATGGTGCCACGTACTGTTAAAACTACTGCTGCTACCAATGGCAGTGCAAACGTAGCAACAAATAGTGTTACGCAAAAAATGAGTAATCAAGATTTTAGAAACATGTTACTGAATAAAACATAAGTTACTATTGTGTAAATGATTCTGTGAAACCTTGTACATATATACTAATCAACGAGTTCAATACGCGCATACTATAAATTCATCATACAGGACGTAAGTTTTCTAGTTTACATTCTTTCCACTATCTAATTCATGTGAAATGCAAAAGATGTATAAAATAAAAGAAGAGTTTCTTTTGGAGTCTGTTTTTCAATTATCTGCGTATATTTATTACAGTCATTCAATTTTCTGAGGGTAAGACATGAAAATATATGCATGTAACGTTGGACAGTTGTATTGGGAAAGTCAATGGAGGCGTGGCTTAGGGTTTGACCCTCTGGTGGTAAGATGGAAAACTACTGACAGTAAGTTTTTCAAATGTATAGAGTTGCTTACAGTTCAAATACCGCAAATACGCAGTAGCTTTTAACAGCTTAAAAATTGTCTGAATCAGATGCCTATGATTTGAATTGGAAGAACAATGCGAATATTCATAAACAAAATTTGTCAGTTCGCGTGTGCAACACCCCACCATAAAAATGTTATTGGTGGTAAAAATATAAATTAATCGTGGCCACCTTTTAAATTGTAGAACTAAACTTGTACAACTAAATGAAGTTGACAATGCTGTTATTGAAATTTTTGCGTTTTGTCTTCAGACATCAAATTTAAAAGATGATCCACATGAAATTAGTAGTGAAATCTTAAAATGATGACGTTTATGTAACGAACTTATGGACGAATTATTGGTATGATTTATAACTTAGGTAAATTTGCGACACGACTTCCTAAAAATCATAAATTTGATGTCCAACTCTATTTATGATTAGAATAATACTTATTTATTGGGATAAAATCGTTTTTTGTAAAGTATAACGAGCATACTATCATAAACGTTGATACATTCTTGTCCATTTTTAAAACTTTTATCCATGCCCTGAAGCGGTTAATAATTTCTTCGTGATTTAATTTATGTTTCAATTTCACTAAGTTTCCTTTTGGCCGGGGAAAATGGTAAAAGCGAACAGTATCGTGTTTACATGCATGACTGTTACAGCCGAACATCCAGCAACATATTTAACTTTTATTTTTTCTACGTGAAAATTCCATAGTGTAAATTTCTATAACTGTTTAAATAATTATGACTGTTGTTATATTAGTTTAAAAGCATTAAATAGCGCAACAAATATAAAAACACTGGTTTTTCTTAACCTATCTATTCAAACATTGTTGATCATACAGATACTCGACCTACTCTCAGTAGGTTAATTTTCTGTCACTAGTTGGCGTATCAAAATTCTGACTTTCCCATATAAAATGAAAATATGTGCAAGAGAAAGCCTGGCCAAACATTCACCCGTGGTGCCACATAAACAATAGTACTGAATAATACCAGACCCCACGCCCCCAACCACTCGCTTGTGTTGTGTTGACATTCTCGGGCCACTCATACAGGGTAACTCACATAACTCTTAACAGCTCAATATCTCGAAAACTATGCCATCGATTTTAAAGTTCTTGGTCTTAAATTGCATGAATATGAAGGGCCTTTCTAACTACATAAACGAGAAGTGGCTCCCCCTTTCCCTTTAAGGGGGGGGCGGGGGTTCCTTTATAATTTTAAATGGAACCCCCTATAAAACGTTACATATTTAGATTCTGCAGGAAAAAACAAGTAAATTTTGTCTGAAACATTTTTTTGTCAGATATTTCCATGATGAGATATAACAGTTTGAAGTTTCGAATTGTAGGTACTTACTTGAAGCGCTCGGAAATTGCGTTATTGAATTATACGCGCTTGAGTCCTTTGCTTACTCGTGAAGAAATAAAATGTTCAAAATGTCCACCACGGGCTTGTAAACATTTATTTACTAGAAATATCAAAGCTGTTCTAACATCTGTTAACATTTCGGGAGTCACTGAAGCGCGAGCGTCACGTATTCTTTGTGTCATATTCTGTTTTGTCGTCGGCGGTTCAAACATAACTTTGTCCTTTACATATCTCCATAAGAAAAAATCTAATGGTGTTAGATCGGGGGATTCAGGAGGCCATTGATGAGGTCCTCCACGACTTATCCATTTGTTCCCAAATTTTTCATTCAAAAATTGTCTGGTGATGATTGTAAAATGTGGAGGAGCGCCGTCTTGGTGGCACCACATTTCTCTTCTAATGTGTAGTGGCACATCTTGCAAAAGCGCAGGCAAATGATTTTTTAATAAATCACAATAACTTTCAGATTTTACAGTTTCTTCAAAAAAATAAGGTCCAATCACAAAATCTCCTATTATGCCACACCAAACATTTAAAGACCATCGATATTGAAAGGGAACAGATCGCATTCAATGTGGGTTTTCAACGGCCCAATAATGCAGATTATGTTTATTTACATGTCCTGAATTCATAAAAGTAGTCTCATCGGAAAAAAGTATTCTGCACAAAAAGTCATTTTCCATAACACCCTGCAGCCACTCACAAAATGTTACGCGGTGATCGTAGTCTGCCATCGAAAGCTCTTGTGTTAAAATCAAGTCATATGGATGATATTTTTGCTGTTTCAAAATTCATTGAATTGCATAACGACTGATATGTGATGTTTGTGCAAGTTTACGTTGACTAATTTGAGGATTTCATGTAATTGCAGCAAGAATATTGACGGTATTATTTTCATTAGTGACAGGTCTCGGTTTATTGCAAGATGTTTTACACAATCCACCGTGCTCACGAAGCCGCTTTTCTAAATTATAAAATTTTACATGAGATTTTTCGATCCCATAACGTTCAAAAAACATCACAATGTCACTGATAAGGAATAAGTCTGTTCGAAAAGCACGAAGAAAATTGTAGATACAGAAACTTGCAAAATTATCCCTGGGAAAAGGTCATAGCTTGCATTAAATTGAAAAAATAATAATGACTAATAAACTGAATAGAACTCACCCTTGCAGAAATTCACCAGCAGTTTGCAAACCTATGTTACTACATAGGTCACTAGACTGATCCTGGTCATCGACGGCCGAAACGATTTATGGCAGGGTATCGCCCAGTTCGCAGGTGATCGCAGGTATACCTCACCAGCCGAAGTTAAGGGTTCTAACGTCAAGTGCATCCGGGTTATTCCACCGAATATGTATTCACTTCACTGCACGACCACTAACACTGATCACCCGACACGATCACTTAATGTATTTTTAATCCAACGTGTTGTCCCTACGTTACGAAAATTCGTGGCCCCGACAAGGGCCGATTGTTTTCAATTTATCAGATGTTCTACGTAGCCAAACACTTGCACAGCAGCAGCCGCATATCCGTTATTCTGTACGTACCACCAGAACGTTGCGTAACACTCCTGTGAACTGAACATCTCTGTCGCCCGACAGCCACCGCTGTCTTTAATAGGTTACTGCTACGTTAATATGAACCGCATCACCGTACCGATAGGCTTATTTTACGGAAAAGAATTCAACGAATACGGTTTCTATAATTCTAATAATTTCCGAGATATTTGACGGTATAGTAAAAAAAAATACGTATGAAATATTTTCATGAGAACTACAATTTCAGAGAGTTGTAAAAAAATTGGCGATTGTCAATTCTGTTGTGAGTTCACAGTTGCTACGAGGTCGAAGAAATTGAGCCATAAATAACCGAAAAAGTCCGCACCGGCCTCTACAAAGGTGGTCGGACGGAGCCAAGCAGCGTCAATTCACACGTGTCGGTGAAATTTTTTTCTCTGCTCCTCGAGGAAAACAATGTACATTGTACTTTCCAACTCGTAGCAACGGGTACGTTGGTGATCCTCTTTATTTCGGACATTTTCAAGCCGATGCACGTGACGTCTGTTTTCTATCTCCAAGCAGTAGGTACCCTGGCAATAAATCAACGGGCTACGCGCTTTGGTGAAACTGCACGACGGTTCTTTCCTTGCACTTCTGCAAAGCACGTTGTAATACCTTGGACAAGCTCCGCGTTCTCACTCGACCGCTGCGTCTTTTGCGAACTCAGCACTCCGATAAGCGTTTCTTCTTTTCGCGACTGTGTAATGCCCGGATACTTCTTCTGAATAAAGAAACAGTTCAGTCTTAACCATAACCAGACAATCATCATTTATTTCTCTCCTAATCTCTCTCCAAATCCCAATTGCGATACTGCGTGCGATCGACAATTACTTCGATTCGTGTCGAGACAAGTGCGGACAAACTTTACATATTTTCGGGAATTGCTGTTCCTATAATCTTAAATCAAGTAAACCATAGTACTGAGAAGTTAGTACTGAGTTTGTTCATTTTTTTTGTGCGGTTTCAAATTTCCCCCGTCACAACGTGTTATCCTAGAACCGTTGGTTTCTTTTTACCTAAATCTTGTCGTGGTGGGAGTGAACTCACAATGTAACGATGGGAAACTACTTGGGGTAGAGGAACCCTTACGGAAAAATTCTGTCAGTTGGTTAGCAATCGGGCGACAGAGATGTTCAGTTCACGGTATTACGCAATGTTCTCGTGGTACGTACAGAATAACGGATATGTGGCTGCTGCTGTGCAAGTCTTTGGTACGTAGAACATCTGAAAAATTGAAAACAATCGGCCCTTTTCGGGGCTACGAATTTTCCTAACGTAGGAACAACACGTTGGATTAAAAATACATTAAGTGATCGTGTCAGGTGATTAGTGTTGGTGGTCGTGAAATAAAGTGAATGCATATTCGATGGATTAACCCGGCGGCACTTGACGTTGCGACTCTTAACGTCAGCTGGTGTCGCATATCTGCGATCACCTGTGGCATGGACTCTACCCTGTCATAAACCATTTTGTCCTTCGATGCCCAGGCTCGATACACTGACCTACTGACGCAGGTTTGCACGCTGCAGGTGAATTTCCGTCTTTAAATAACAAACGACCGATGATAAAAAGTATGATTTTATTTGTTACGTCTTTTTTATTTGCTATTATACGCAGTTTCCTGCGATGCATGCTGACCTACTTGTTCAGAGCTTCGTAGTACAAGCGCAGCGCGTAGCCACCGCTAGCGCGGGATACTCG